CGCACATCCTCCTTGCCCTGATCTTGGCACAGGGAGGTCTTGTGCTTGGTGCTGTTGCACCAGTAGCAGCTGTTGTAGCGGCCGCGGACCTTGTACTCCGCCTCGGTCAAGCCAAACTCGACCCATGGAACTTGTACTGGCTGTCCATTTCCGGCCTGCGATGCGCGGATTTCGCCTTCCCATTGTTGCGGGACTTGTTGTTGCTTCGCGGCTGGACAGCAGCCACCTGATCTCCGTCACTTGATGCTGGAGTGGCTGCTGGGTTATCTCCACTGTCCTGCTGGACTGCAGCGAAGTGATGCTGTCGCGGACTTGTTCGTACCTTCTCCACATAGGTCGGCTGCCATGTTGATCTCTCGTGTGCAGCTGGCCTGTTGGTCTTGATGATCTCTCTCGCCTTGGCGATAATCTCGGCGAAAGTGGAGTACTGCTCGCGATCACCAAGGGCCTGGCTTAATGCAGCACAGGACCTGTTGTAGAACTCACGACTGAGATGAGTGAAAGGCAGCTCCAGATTGGGCACTGCTGCAATCTTCTGCCACTCTGTGAGCCAATCCCATGTTGCAGTGTTGCCTTGTGACATGGTGAACAAACGGTTGATGGCGAGTGCCGGCGCGTCGTCGACGATGAACCGCTTCTTCCACAGCTGTGTCAGTTCCTCCCATGTGATTTTGTCCTTCAAGTCTGGTACGTCGACGCCGCGGGAGGTTGCCAGGTGGCTCAACCAGGTCTGACATCGGCCTTTTGAGTTCAGGAACAGGGCGCCGATGTACGCATGCTTGGCTACGGGCAGAATCCTGAGTTGCGTTGTAAATGCTTCCCACCAGAGGACCGGATCCTGCTGCATGTAGTCGTCGAACCTCTCCAGATTGAAAGTTGGCATCTTATACATTTTCGGGTTGCCATCTGCGTTCGTCGTCTGCAACTGCTGGACCTCGGTCTTCAATGTATGCAGCTGACTGCTGATGGTGGTGGTCGGCGCAGCGAAAGTGCTGATGTCGCCGAGCATTGCCACTACGTGGTCAACGCGGTCCTCCAGTTGGCGGCTAGAGGGTGCTGGAAGCCCCAGCAGCTGGTCCTGGTACAGCCTGTTCCAGGTCCAGCAATCGGGCATTGAGTGCCCGAGTTGCATCCTCATGGCTCTGCACCATGCGGTGGAGCTTTGCCAACTCCTGATGCTGTTGCGTCAGGTCCTGGTATTATCTCTCCAACTCTGACCGTTGGTAGTTGCAAGCGTACAACAACCTTGTCACGAGTTCAATAAGGAACTCCTTGTGCTTCTCTTCCGGTGTTGCCTCGTCGCCGTTCGGTTCAAAATGCCAGAACTTGAGTCTGTCGATGCTGTTGGCTTCATGCCGCTGCAGCAGATCCTGGGCTTCCTTGCGGCGAGCCTGGGCATCTGCGTCTGCATCGGCCTGTAGCTGCAGTTGCTCTGCTGCTGCTGCCTCTTCAGCCTGTACGCGGGCAGCCTCGGCTGCCAGCAGGCGTTGTTCCTCAGCCTCGATCTGAGCCTGGAACCGCTGCTTGTAGGCTGCAAGGGACTCGTTGGGCAGTTGGCCTGGCAGGCCTGTTATGTTGCTGACGTGGCACTGCTACTTACGTGGCACTGCTGACGTGGCACTGCTACTTATGTGGCACTGCTGATGTGGCACTGCTGACGTGGCCCTGTGTCTGACGTGGTACTGCTGACGTGGCACTGCTGATGTGGCACTGCTGACGTGGCCCTGTGTCTGACGTGGTACTGCTGACGTGGCACTGCTGATGTGGCACTGTCTGACGTCACTGCTGACGTGGCACTGCTGTCGCGGCACTATGTCTGATGTGGCACTGTGACCTGGCACTGCTGACGTGGCACTGCTGATCTGGCACTGTGACGTGGCACTGCTGACGTGGCACTGTGACTTGGCACTATGACGTGGCATTGCTGATGTGGCACTGCTGATCTGGCACTGTTACGTGGCACTGCTGACATGGCACTGTACTGAACCGGATGCATGCAAGGGGTGGGTGGGAGGGAAAACGGAGGTAGGTAACCAACCCAACAATCTTTCCTCCGGCCCTAATCAACAGATAAAATAAAATA